TACTTCTCGCATATTATTCTCAAATTTTTGTGCCATTTTCTCAGTCTTCATGGTGGATTTTTCTAGGCCAGACATTTTTTCCTCTACATCTGAGATTCTATTTTCTGAATGATCTAGTCTGCTTTTAATACTTTCCAGGGAGATTTTTACTTCTTGTATTATAGACTTCATCTCTAGCAGTTCCGTTTGAGTCTTTTGTAAAGTGTGTAATTCCACTTTTAGATCTTGCAGGAATTTCCTCATCTCTTGGAACTCGTCAATTTCTTTCTCCTTTCTCTTTAGCAGTTCATTGTCTCTCTTCTCTTCCATCTCTGTTAGCTTAGACATTATGAATGATCTGAATTCCTTATCAGACATTTCCATGATTTTCACCAAACTGCTTGTGGATGAAGAAGAGTTACTCTTTTCCCTTGGAGGAGAGGTATTTTCTTGTTTTCCCATATTTCTCATGATCCGGTGGTGATTTCTTATCATCTGATGGATGTTGTGTTTCTTTCAAATTCTTGAAGTTCAGTCTGAATGTTCAGGAGCAAGCAGACAGAGGTGATCTAGAATCTCTTTGCCATTCTGTTGTGATCGCTGGTGTAGCAGATCCAGTAGATAGTGGGGAATATTTTAACCCTATTAGTATTTGGATGTTTAGCTACAGTGCTCTTAGATCCGTCTAAAAACACATTGAAAGGATATTGGAGGGTGGAGAGACAAGAAAAAGGAAAATGAAACAGAGAGAGAAAAACAACAAAAAGAGAAAAAAAGACAAAAAAATAAAAAAAGATTAAAAAATGTGTAATTACTGTTCTGCCGCTAGCTCGTTTGTTGGAGGCTGAATTATCAGTAGAAAATCTTCATTCCCTTAAAAATCTAGTTCACTGGAGCCATGTGGAACCTTCTCCTCAGAAATGTTGATCTTTTTTCTTGTGCTTTTAGCTATTTGTATGCCTTTCTCTGAGAGTTGTATGTTCAGATTGATTGTTCATTTTTATTCTTATTTATTTTTTGCTTATTTTCATTTGCTAGTGGGCACATACACTTGCCAGAGAGAGAGAGAGAGAGAGGGAGGGAGGAAGAAAGCATACCCATTGGGGCACGGTCCTGTCACAACCTCTTCTCTTCCACTTCTCCATCTTTTAGGGATTGGGGCACACATACTCTTGTGCTCCGCATATTTTCAAGCTACTGTGGCCAGGGTTCAAACCCACAAATGGTTTGACTTCATGGTGACATGGGGTCTTCCAGATACAGAATGTGGGTTGGCCATGTGGCATTCAGCTCCCTTAGCCACTAGGTCATGGAACTGGCTCAACTGAACATTTAAAAACTGGATTATTAGAGGTTCTATATTCATGATGGAGCATATGTACATGCATGAAACAGAGAGAAAGAGAGAGAGGAAGCTGGGCATCCTCCACGGGTTCGTCATGCTGCAATCCCCTTTCTCCAGCCCTCTAGCCCACCTTACACTGCCACCAGAACAAACCCAAATCGGTGTTGTGGTCTACACCGCCACACACTCTCTGGCTGGCCGGCTCCTCTCCCTCCCCTTTGCTCCTTCTTCGCCCAGGGCTGCAGCACACGGACACCTTCGTCCCTGAGCACACTGGGCCGGCTGCTGTCCCCACACGTGAAGGCTGACTTTCCCGTGTCCCGGGACCCTTGTCCCCCAGGTGCTCGCTAGGCTGCCTTCTCACCCTCCAGCTGGGGACTCAAATGTCACCGCCCAAATGCCCTTCCTGACCTCCCTGGAAAGTCTTGTCCTGCCCACCCGCTCTCCAGAACTTCGTTTTAGAAATGTTTGCCAAGGGCCGGGAGGTGGTCTGGTGGTGGGGTGGTTAAGAGCGGTGGACTCCCACGTAGTCGACCACGGTTCGAGTCCCTGACCCAGTGGCTTTCTCTCTCTCTCCATTTCCCTCTCTGGTCAAATTAAAATCAATAAATAAAGTTCAATGAAGATATATTAAAAAAAATGTTTGCGCCAGATCGCATCACTCTCCCCCCCACCAGCAGCAGCCCCAGAACGCTCCCCGAGAGCAAGGCCCCTGGGTGAATTCAGGCGGCATCTCCAGCCCAGAGCACCTCCCGGACGGTGCAGATGCTGAAGGAATAGGGGTGGGCGGCCGGCGGGGGCTCCCCGGGACTCTCTCGAGCTCAGG